TCTGATAGTTGTTCTAAGGGCCATCTCTTTTAAGCATAATAGTGACATTCCTCGGCTTTATACTGTATCAGGACTCGTTTATCATTTAGTAGGATGAAAGTGGTAAGATAGACTCTTGTTCTATTCCTAGAAATGTCTCTTTTATGCTGAACTACTCTTGTGAAAAATTAACATGCCATTAGCATATATATTAAATCTTTCTCTGAAGATTCAGCAATCAGGAATGATGATTCAAGTCAATTTTCTAGAATATTCCTCCCTTCCTAGTTCTGTATCTGTCTCTAATTGAAGTTCTCAAAGTTTGGGACTGGGACTCTGGGTGTCCCTAAGATTCTTTCAAGGCATCTGCAAGGTCAAAACTATTTTTGTAATAGCACCAGGGTATTTGCCTTTTTCATTCATCTTCTTTCATGAGTGAGATTTTTAACAAGCTACATGACATGTGCTATCATAACAGATTGAATGCTGCAGCAGATGGGGGAGTCTCCCTTTCTTCTAAGCCAAGCATTAACGATATTTGTAAAATTCTAAAGTATCATTCTTCTTATGAAATGTATTTTTTTAAATATAGGATTACTTGTGATTTCATAAAAAATATTGTACTTATGTTAGCATAGATTTTTATTTTTTAGTGAATTGATATTTTTAAAACCAGTATTTTCATTTATATGTGGTAAATATCAGTAGATATAACTCACATAAATAGAACTGTCTGGGGTCCTTAATTTTTCCATGCGCAAAGGGGTGCTATGACCCAAATATTTAAGAACTGCTATTCTACTATTCGGGGCTCTTACATAGGAATTACTTTGTTGACGTTTACTGACATATTAATGTGGGAGCCTGTATAAGCTTTGCTTTTCATAATTTTAGAATGTATGTAAAAAACCTTTTATGTCCAACCAGAACCAGAAGATACCCCATGGAAATCACGTTTTTTTGTGTGTACCTGTGTTATATGCCACATAAGTGCAAAATGCTATTTAATATTCTAGGCCAGGCAATGTGGCTCATACCACTTTGCAGGAGAACTACTTGAGGCTGGGAGTTTGAGACCAGCCTAAGCAATATACTGAGGCCCCAATCTCTATAAAAACATTTAGAAAATAAAAGATTATCCATGGATGTTTGGTGCTCCACTGTAGTCCTTGCTACTCAGGAGGCTGAAGCAGGAGGATTGCTTCAGCCCAGGAGCTCCAAACTGCAGTGAGCTAGGATTATGCCACTGCATTCTAAAAGACCTCATCTCTTAAAAAAAAAATTATTAGGTCAGTTGGCATTAGATTGTACAACTGATGCTTCATTCAACAAGTCACAACACTTATTTTGTTCCTGCTTAAGTGGCCCTTATTGTTATTAGAGATGAGATAAATATTATCTCTACGTTCAGGTATCCAGCTGCTATAGTAAGATACTAATTACAGCACAACTGACCACCTGCAAAAAAGCATGCATCAATATTTTTGGCTGCTACTGTTGTGGTCAAGGAGGAATTTATGGTCCTCTTTAGAGGAAAGGATCTGTTGAATGAACAGTTAAGTAAAATATAAGATTTTGGACTAAAAGTTAAATGCCTCTATGTTTCAGTACGCAGAGAAAAGAGCACAGCAAATGAGTTTAGGAATTATGCTAAGCTAGCTACTGTAGCTTCTTGTGTTCTGTCAATGGTCACGATTTTTTGCTTAGGGGCCACTAATATGGACGTGTTCACTTTGTGATTATTCCTCAGGCTGTGCTCTTAACAGTTCTTAATTTTTCCATGTATTTTTATACTTCATTAAAAAGTAAAACATCTTTTAAATTTAGAATGTCTCTGTAGTATGGGAAACTGTTCGTAATAGACACTTGGAAACATTTGTCTAAGGACTCCTTGTTGCTTATAGTTAATTCTTATTTTGCCTTGATTTACCAAAGTTTTTCAGTAGATTCTTCTTCTGAGGACCATGGCAGGGAAGCATTTGATGTGGAATATTCAGTTGGTAAATAATCTATCCTCTTTCTTTCTAGCAATATATTAGTATGTTTTTAATAAAAATAAAAGGAAGCATGCCAATTTTTTACATATCTTTGAAGTTTTTAATTAAAGTAAAAAAGTTTTTAGTCATGTAAATAATTTGGAAATCTAATGCCATGATGAGAATTAGCAGACTTCACCGCTTCCTCGTTGCTTCTGGGTCTTACTGTCCTGATACAGCCATTCTCCATTCTATGTCTATTTTCTGAGTTTTCCATCCTTCTGTTTAAATAATAGGCTTGTATTTCTGCTTCTCTACTTCCTATCATGAGAGGTAAAGATTTAGTTCATTTATACCATCTGTGTTTCTCCATGCTTCCCCTTCTTTCCAATTTTTTTATTAAATCGTAAATTAACTTGATTACCTACTTATGATAAAACAAAGTAAATGTCATTCACAGCTGAGTCTAACAGAATTCTAGAATTTTACTTCCAGACTAACTTTACTTTTTTCTAGAGTTAATAATTACAACTTCCTGCCACTGACTTAGGTTTTCATCATCCAGTCTCTGATTCTTAATAAACTAAAACTACAACTCTTCTTTTTTTAATTTTTATTTTTTTAATTAAATCATAGCTACGTACATTAATGCAGTTATGGGGTTTTATATACCCCATATATGTACATTAATGCAGTTATGGGGTTTTATAGTACTGGTTTTATATACAATTTGAAATACTTTATCAAACTGGTTAATATAGGCTTCACCACATTTTCTTAGTTAGTGTGTTAAGACATTTATATTCTACACGTGGTAGATTTAACATGTACCCTTGTAAAGTGCACCATAGGTGTGGTCCCACCAAGTACCCTCCCTCCACCCATCCTTTACCCTCCCCTCCTCTTTCCCCTTCATCTTGGGCTATAGTTGGAAACAAGTTTGGAGATCACTTAGGGATCTAAAATTAGACCTGCCATTTGATCCTGCAATTCCTCTACTAGGTATCTATCCAGAAGACCAAAAATCACTTTACAACAAAGATATTTGCACCTGAATGTTTATTGCAGCCCAGTTCATAATTGCTAAGTTGTGGAAGAAGCCCAAGTGCCATCGACCCACGAATGGATTAATAAATTGTGGTGTATCTACAGCTCTTCTTAATATTGTCAGACACGTGGGTAATTTATTTTGGTTCAACTTTTTTTTTCTTGAGTCGTCCTTTCAAGGCTCTCCATCCTCTTGCTGGAATCTAGATTGGTTATTGTCTGGATTCCTACACACCTGTTGTCCGGGGCCTTTTTTTTATATGCATTCATGAATGCATTAATTAATTCTTTTTTTCCTTTTTTATGTGGGATTACTTATTTTCTGTTATTCACATCTTCTCCTTTCATTATAGATAAGTACAGTATAAATTTTTACAGCATAATAGTGTTAAGCCTTCCTATCTATGAACATGGTCTATGTTTCTGTTAATGTCCTTTGATTCTTCTCAGCAGTGTTTTATAGTAGTAGTAGTCCTGCAAGACTTTTGTTAAATTTATTCCCTAGAGTTTCTCATCTTTGTTTTTTAATTTCTCATTAATATGAGGGGTATAAATGATTAGGTTACCTTGTTTGCATTTGTTAGGTAAAGTTCAAGTTGTAGTTGAGCCCTTCACCCAAGTGTGCTGTATACCCTTATATTGTGCCTATTAGATGAGAGCACACCAATCCCTTTCCCATCTTCCCTCTCCCTTTTCTCTCCCCTCCTCTCCCCACTTGGACTTAATTGTGGTTTTCTTTCATGTGGGGATACAGTTGTTTATCTGTTGGTTTCATATTAGTATTGCATACTCTGGATGCTTACATTTCCATTTTTGTGATACTACTAATAAGAATATTCTTAAACTTTATCCAGGTAAATACTAAAGATGTAAAGTAACCATCTTTTTATGGCTGAATAATATTCCATGGTATACATATACCACAATCTATTAATCAATTTGTGAGTGGATGGGCATCTGGGTTGATTCCATATATTAGTGATTGGGAACTAGGCTTCAATGAAAAGTTTTTCATCTTAGTATGGGTAGAAGGATTTCAGGGGAAATATTTGCTAAAACTAATATTTAGAGATTACTTGAAGAGTTCACATAACCCCTGTGTCATCCATCAACTATTTGAAGAATAATTGAAAAGCTTCCAAAATACAAGTACTATTACTTCACAAAAGTATTCCTAAATTTTGGTGAATGTTGGATATATTTTAAGTGAAATTAGAATTGTAATTATAAGGGTTATAAAACTGAACTCCATTGTTAAATAAAAATGCTAAAAAGAATATGTTTTTAAAATCTATATTTTATGTTATCTACACACTGAAAAATAATAAGCACAATTTTTATTTAGGCTTTGAGGTAAGGAAGCGGAAAATTTGACCCTACAACTACTACCTACTCTCTTAGGGCTCAGTGTGTTAGCTGTTCTGAGCCTCAGCTGCTTTGTCAATAAGATGGGCATTAAAAAAAAAAAAGAAAGAAAGACAAAGAAAGCATCTTCTGAGGTTATTGGCAAGCTAAAATGGGAAAAGTTACCATGCCTAGTATGGTGCCTGTTATATAGCAAGCCTGCAAATGATTTTCTATTGTTATTTTAAGAATTGTGAGGAGTTGTATTTTCTTTGCTTTTTAAAATTTATTTCCAGCATAGAGCAATAAGAGTAATAAAGATAATTAAAATGTGTAAGCTAAGTTGATACAGAAAGGACACCTGAAATATTTTAGCCATGGAAAATTTATGAGTGATATATGTAAATGAACTTAAAGCTTTTACTCAGCATTTAACATTTAACAAGGCAAAAATATGTCTTTCATGATGCTTGATGAAAACAATGCACTCATGACCAATCACTGTAAATATTTATAGAAAGCATAGTGGAGGAAGTGAGCTAAATCAAAGAAGGAGTTGCTCTGGAGACCTCAAAAGAGTGTTTCACAGCCACAGCAGTGCTGCCTCTGCCCTGAGAATGGTCAGCTAATCACATGCTGTTTTTTTCTCTCCAGGGAGAAGTTGGCAGTGGCCCGACTGCAGCGAGAGGTTGCCCAGAGAACAAGTGAGGGGGCCATGGTAAGTCCTGGCTGGTATTTCTGCACTGGGAGCTTTCCATCCAGAGGTCTCTAACTTGAAAGTCCTTTTATCTCGTTAAGGATATCTAAGGAAAGCATATCTAAGGCTTTATTGCATGGAGGTCTTCTTTCTTTTCGAGACAGAGTCTCCTTGGATCACCCTCAGTAGAGTGCTGTGGCATCATAGCCCAAGCAATCTCAAACTCTTGGGCTCAAATGATCCTCTTTCCTCGGCCTCCCCAGTAGCTGGGACTACAGGCGCCTGCCACAGTGCCCAGCTATTTTTTAGAGATTGGGTCTTTTGGATGCTCAGATTTCTAGCTGTGATCACAGTGTCTATACATGAGCAATCTCAGAGCTTTAGATAAAGGCAGTTCAACATAATTGAGCCCTCTCATTTCTTTGAGCTTAATAAACAAACAACCTATAAGAACACTAAGATGTTTGCCAATGCAATTAATTGTCTTTTATTCTTTTATTTCTACTATTTGCAGTCTATTTCTCTTGTCCTTTTCAAGGTGTGCCATTTAGAAAACTGATGTTTCTTGTGTTTTGAATTGTACTAAAAATCAATACCATTCCTTTGGTCCATAGCAAGTTCATTTTATAAACTGTCTTTGCCGAAGTGTGTGCCCCTGTACCACTGTAACATCAGAGATGGCTGTCTGGGGACCTGGGGAATGCAGTGTATGGAAGAACTGCTGTTGCTGCCTCTGAGAAGAAAATGGAACACCAGATTTATTTTTCCCCCACTTGTGATAGAACAATTGCATGTGTGCAATTTTTCAGCAAAATAATTAGATGTTTTTGAAAAGATAAGTGACATACTTTTAGACCCTGAAATCTGCTTCCTTTGATTTTTATGATAGTTGATCATAAAATCCCATCCACTGAAAAGGATAAGAAATTTATAAAATATTCTGGGCTCACACTTCTCTTAACTAGAAAAACAGAGGGTTAGACCAAGAGGCTGCCTGTTGAGTGGGGTCCGGAAGGTATAGTGGCCCTTGAGCATGCAAAAATACATAGGGAGGGTGACTACACTGTTTTGCTAGTGATTTTAATTCAGAGAGAATCTTGAATGTTAAAACAATATGAAACAACCACTCACACACATCTTTGAGCAATGAAACAAACAAGTTGGAGGAAATAAAGGTCAACTTGGGTGGTGAACTGAACACTTCCAATTTGGGCTTCTCACTGAGTTTCTAAACGTTGATGCCCAGGTCATTCTGTAATGTTTCAGCCTGTGTTTAGAACTAGCTCTGACTCACCACATCATCAGCTATATTCTAATTGAATATGCAGAAATGACTTAACTTAGTTATAAGTCTCAGTTTACTCATCTTTAAAATGAGGAGGTTAGAATTTTATGAGTCTATAAACTTAGTGGATCATTCTGTTGAGCACTTGCCTGTGTAAAGCTTTTATGATATGAAACTTTTACTACTATAATAATAACTTGCTTATGCTCCTAAGAAGAATAGGCCTTGGAAATGTTTTTATTCTTTCTGACTCTGATATTGAATGTGCTTGAGTTGAGATGATCTCTGACAACTGTCTGGTCTTTTATAAAAACAAACTGCCTTTAAAAACACTATAGAAGTAATTGTTCAGCATAAAAAATACCGAGGCAAAAATAATGACCCAATGGCTCAAAAAAATACTTTGGAAAAGTTATCAGTATTTTATTATTCTGATTTTAATGATGATAATAAAAAGTAACATTTGTGTATGAATTTGATTTTTGACAAATATTTATTGAGCACTTACTATGTGCCCAGCACTATTCTCAGCATGGGGAAATATCAATGAATTAAACAGGCAAAAATTTGGGAGCTTACGTTGAGTGGTTGGGGAGACAGATAGTCAAAGTAATTAAAAGGTTAGATGATGGAGCAGATATGAGAAAATGGCAGGGTAGGGCAGTTAAATAGAATGTGCCCAGTAGTATATCACTGAAAGGTTAATATCTGAATAAAACTTGAAGGAGGCATAGGAGGTTTACTGTGGGTATTTCTGGAGGAGGAACATTCCAGCAGGGAGATTAGCACCTGCAAAGTCTGGGGCACCTGAGGATGGGGAACTGAAGATGAGAACTGGGCAGCCTGGAGGGGTGAGAAAGAGAGAAGGTCAGATGTGATGGACACAGGGGCAGGCCATTAGGGCCCCGTGGAACTCTGAGTCTAAGTGATGGGGAGCACAGTGAGGCAGTGATATGATTGGAATTAACACTGTTCACATCATCTCACCTCCCATTCCATATCATCACTATTATCTCACCTCCCATTCCATAGTTTGTCTCAGCTCAGTTTTTTAGAGACACTGTAAATTCTGATTTTCGTTACTTTCCTTTATTTTTCTCCCTCTTTTTAAGCAACCTTTTCTCTTTTTTTCATAGTCAGTCCCCTTTGACTTTCCTACTTAATTATATGCTTCAGCTTTTCTATTCCTCAAATTCATTTATTTCTGAAGTCCTGATTCTTTCAGTGTCTGACAGCTCCTAAAATCACGCAGTTCCATTAATCCTTTAAATTTAATTCTTCCTGTTACAGAATTTTTAAAGAACTTTTGTCACATCTATAGCAGAAATGGAAAGCAATTTGTCGTGACCAGATTACTTATGTTTTTAGAGACTGCTGTTTACAGTTTTCTATATTTTTATCCACATGAAAGGAAAAATGATATGGAAGAAATTATGTAAGAAGTCTTTCCAGAAAAAAACTGTAATTAAATTGAGACAGATATTAATTTTTAAAGTCATCAGTAAACCTGTTATAATCAAGGTTGTCAAATGCAAATCATGCCCTTTTAAAAGTTTTCTTTTATGCCCTAAATCTCTAAGCTTACAAGTTTTAAAATAGTAGTCAAGGTACCACATTGAGAGATTTACAGAGAAGTCGACTTGCACGCCTGCCTTCCCTTCACCGAGTTTTTCCTGATGTTAATGTCTTCTGTTATTAGGGTGTAATGGTGAAAACTAAGAGATGGACATTGGTATACTGCTCTTAACTAAATTTCTAGACATTCTGAGAGCGCCACTAGTTTTTTTCACTGATGTCCCTTTTTTCTGATCTAAGATCTAGTGCAGGGTACCACATTTCATGCACAGAGACTGCTTTTTAATGGCTAATGAGTACATGTGTTCCACGGATGAAAGTGCTATTTTATACACTATACAAACTGGTTCCAAAAGTAGAAAATTTTATTACAGAGAAATTGGAAAGCTACTATAGCGTTCACGTATTTCATATCCAGTTTCCTCTAGCATTAATACTTAGATTAATATGGCACATTTGTCATAATTAATAAACTGATATTGATATATTCTTAGTAATGAAGTCCATACTTGGTTCAGATAAATGTCTTTCTCCTGCTCCAGGATCTCATCCAAGATTTATGTTATAGTTACCTGTCCTATCTCCTTCTCTTGGTTTTGGTGGTTTCCCAGACTTTCCTTGTTTGTGATGACCTTGACAGTTTTGAGAAGTACTTAGATAGGGTTTTTATGATTTTAGTTGTTGTTTTTGCATTTGTCTTATTGGGATTTGTCTGATTTTTTTTCCTCAAGACTTGATGTTGGTTTATTTTGGGAAGTTAGGTCATGAATTAAAGTACCATTTTTAATTGCAAAATATCAAGAGTATATGTTATCAGCATGATTTATCACCATTGATAAGAACCTTGATCACTTGGCTGAGGTACTATCTGTTATGTTTATCCAGTGTAAAGTTATTCTTCCTGACCCCCTGCCCCCTTCCATCCTGGACTTTTTGGAAGAAAGTCACTATATTCAGCTCACGCTGAAGGAGTGCAGAGTTATATTCTACCTCACTGAGTGTGGTGTGTCTGCATAAAAGTTTGTGAATTCTTCTGCATTGGACATTGGTTTCTTCTTCCTCGTTTACTTATTCAGACTTTTATATGTATCTGTATGAATACATTGATATATACTTTATACTTTGAGTTATAAACTAGTGCTTTTTTACTGTTCTGATCATATGTCAAACGAGGTCTGACAATGATTTTTTTTTGTTTATAAACAAAAATAAAAACACTGTATTTTATATGACCTAAAATAATGATTATAATCATCAGGTTAGTTCATTTTTTTTATCTTTTAAATCTATAGGATAATTAAATTAATTCTCCAACCTACTTCCCACCCAAAATAAATAAGAGCTGGGGAGTATGTGGGTGGCAGAAAAATTGGATTGGAAAGGGTTTATTTTGCTCAAATTATTCCAGCTTTGGCCATTAGGAGTTTTTTATTGGCTCCTTGGGTCCTTGTAACATGCTTTCGTCATTGTTGTTGGCTGTTTTCCTTTTTTTTTTCCTTAGCACTTTCTTACTTTCTGGTGTTATAAGATGATTCAGGCTTATTTTATATATTCTTACCCTGTCTTAGAATCAGCTATTTCTCTAAGGAGACATAGTTCTATTAATGGACAAGGATATTTGAAACCAAGATCTGGTCACCGGGTGTCAGCCTACTTTACAAGCCTTGTTAGAGTGATACTTATCCTGGAATGCAATGACTGCTTAACAGTAGGAAAATCGTTAATATAATTGACAACAGTAATAGATTAAAAGAGGAAAAATGTCAATAGACATAGACAAAGATATTTTATAAAATTTTATACTAGTTTATAATAATTTTTTTTAAATGTAGTCAAGAATAAAAGGGAATTTCTTAAATTGGTAAATGACGCCCATTGAAAATCTCCAGTAAACATTAGACTTTTTTTTTTTTTTGAGACAGAGCGTCAAGCTATCTCCCTGGGTAGAGTGCCATGGCATCACGCTCACAGCAACCTCCAACTCCTGGGCTCAAGCAAGTCTCCTGCCTCAGCCTCCCAAGTAGCTGGGACTACAGGCGCCCGCCACAACGGCCAGGCATTTTTTTGGTTGCAACCGTCATTGTTGTTTGGCAGGCCCGGGCTGGAGATTCGAACCTGCCACCTTAGGTGTATGTGGCTGGTGCCTTCGCCGCTTGAGCCA